AAGTTACTAAACATTTTGTGAGTGTATGCACTCACACTTAGGACCATATAATAATAAATATGTGCGTGATGAAAGTTGGGCAGCACACTAACATCCTTACTCCACTCTGTATGCTCGTATGGGTCTAAACCTTTTACTCAGATATTTTCCTTGTACTTTTATTATGCCTTTTCGTCAACTCTGTCTTTGTACGGCCCTGCCATGTTCACCATCGTTTTGTACATAACTGTTTTTGAGGCTAATAAAATGCAAGTTTGGATTAAAAGCACAAAATTAATGATTACAGGTGCTGGAAATGCTAGTGCTTGATGCGGTGTATTGATTTTATTGCCACTCGTACCCACAATGAAATGCGCGAAAGTCACATGGTCTTTCAATCTCTATATATGGATGAGCCCAGGATGGAAAGATAAAGCTGGTGTTAAAGGGTTTTTAAAAACCAACCAGCTGTGCACACAGTTTTTATAACAGTGTAACTGTGATATTTTTCTCACTTTTTGTGTTGAAGTCATTGTTTCCTCTGTAGTGGCTGAGCTGAGTCCAAATGGCTGAAATTGTTCCTCGGCTGCTCCACCAGACTCTTCTGCTGTTACTCAGCTGGGGCACAAAAAAGTATATATATTTATTTTATTCCTGATAAAAAAGAAGCAGAGCAAATAAACATTACTACACTCCTTAGTGACAACAATACCTATGAAGCTTCAAGGTGAAACCCCAGAAGCAGCTATAAAAAGAAAGTCATTGTAGGCAATTGATGACTTTTTCTTGATGACTTTTTCCCTTTCAGGTTCTTGTAGGGCTTACAAGAAGGTAGGTATCTCTACTTCCAAAAAGCCACTGACTACTCTGCACATCACCGCCTTTACCCAGGGGATGCTACACCCTGTATATATGGACTTCCATAGTTCCACAAAGGAGTCCTGCTGAGACTCATTGGTAGCAGTATAAACTCAGCCACCTACAACATTTGCAAGCACCTCATAAAACATTTCAAAAATCACTTTGTTAATGTGGAATTCAAAAATGACTTTACAAATGCAGAATTTATTCTACAATTCATTATTTAAGCACAGAATTCTGTTTTTTGAAGTGTGTGGCTATTGTATTCCTCCATATGTGGGGAGCAAAAATCAGATAGGAAGTGGCACACATCATGAGGGGGTACCTGTTAACAACAAACAGTGTGGTTGGCTAGGTTAACTCGCAAACAGGAGTTAGCTGTGCCTGACTACGATAGAGACTTTTTTCTTTTTTAATTTTAATGAAACAACAAGTTAGAAAGATACTTAATTCGACATAAGAAGTTCTGCTATCAGCAATAAACATATGGGGACTGACTGGACTGATAATGGGGACAAATGTTTGACTGACTTTACACTGATATGCAAGATTGCACCTTCTCCACCCAGACAAGGAAAGGGTGGATGTATGCATGTTTTTTCAGGAGCAGCAAGATGACAGTGACATCCTAGGGTCGCATGAGCTTGTGGGCCATGCAGACTTAATCTTGTACTTGTTAATTTCTGTCTGTATTTACCAGCGGTATGTTATTCACGATGTGGTGGCAGATTTCTTTTCTTATGTATTAATCAATTTTCACATTAGTAATAGTAATATTATTTCCTCACTTTAGTGTCACCAGTTGGATTCATGCATGTAGAATGCTATCACAAGTGGACCCCATGTTATTGCACCTTCACAGTGGACCCATTGTAGACTGGAAGATCTCCAGACATCCTGCTTTAAGGGAGGTGACGGGTGGTCATAACCTTTCTTAGAGATGGAGAAGGTCAAGGATGAGCTGGACTGAAAAACTCATCTCCATAGAGACTGTGTCAGCTCCCAAAAAGACAAAAAAACAAACTAAAAACCAGCAATAAACAACTTAAACATAAACAATCACAAAGAAAGAACAATACTGTGTCCACATCTGAACCAAAGAGTAAAACAGTGAAATGTGGATTATTAA